TTCCCCAAGAGGTCATAGGTAGAGCTGTACAAATGAGTTTTCAGTTTGCTGACGGTACGTACTAAAAAATAAAAAAAAAAAAATCATTCTGAGTCAAAGTTTTCGTTGAATCCAAAATGAAATATGTCATTAACAAAAAGAAAATAGTAAATTTTGAAACAAAAAGTTGATTTGAATATAAAAAAATCAAAATGTTTTGTTTTAAAAAGTGTCAAAATTAAATGTTTTGAGGTTTTTGGGAGGTTTCTTTTTATTAACACGTTTTCCCCCCAACCAAAAGAGTTTGGTAAATCCAACATGAATTCACTAATTTTTTCATTCAACCCAAATCTGCATTTTTTGGCCAAAACATTTCCCCTAGCTCTAGTCAAAACTAGGCTCAGACATTGGTGCATCTGGGATGAACATGTATGTTCATTAAGGCTTTAGATTTTATTATAATGTCTTGCCACTGTGGACTTGATATTGCTCCCACTGAAATCAGTGGCAAAACTCCCATTGACTTTAGTCGCAGCAGTATCGGGCCACGCATGCCTAACATTCTGGACAGGAAGAACAGAAACAAAGCTCACTTCAAAGCTTCATTACTTACTGGCCCTAGTTAGCTAGTAAGTGCTGGTCAATGCTACCACAATGCTCATTACTCTTCCATAATGGATAGAAAGTAAGATCAAGACATCTCCTACTTCCATATGAGAGGACTTTATAAATTAAAGTTACACCACTAATCTCATCAGATCAAATTATACCAGCCAGCATAATACTGGTTTGAGTTTGGGGAAGTTTTAGTCAATATATGCACTGAAATGTTAAAAATCCTATACTTTTTCCAAAAAATACCCCATCTTTTTTGAACTATCTGAATACATGCCTGAGGTATGTTAATTCCTTTTCGTATCTGTTCCTGTTCCCATCGACTGAGTTCTTCATCCTGTTCCCCAGTTACGAGAGCTTCGTCATCACTTCCCTCAATACCTGAGCACACGGGGAAACGAACAGACAAGATAAAAATGAAGATAATGGATTTATACCAAGAATATTTCATTCCAAATTCCAATAATTAAATTTACATAAACAATAGGAATAAGAAAAAACATCTAATGCTTATTACAAGTCTGTGCAGTAGAACCTTGCTAATCTTCCATGACTAGGAGATCTGCCATAAATCCATTTTACATGTAAGCTGGTAAATAATCAAAATAATATGGCATGATACATTTTGTTCATTTGACAAGCATCGCTTTAATTAGTTTATACTTAAGAGTTCACCAAATGTTTTGTGTAATTAAGTTTTCATGAAACTTCAGAAAAGCACTGTGCTATCAAAGTTTTGCTCAAAAGCAAAAAGGGGCCATTTTCGTGTGCAAATTGAGGGTGTCTTAGCTAGATTCTACTTTACCATAATTCCTTAAAATGGACCATTACAGTTTTAGGACACTGAGTTCAAATAAAATATTCCATACCAAACTACAGTGTGGATTATGGGAAACCAGAACTGCTATTAGCTATGCAGAACATTTTGTTTAAGGGCTTGTAAAGGTCAGGGTGAGTAACCTACAATGAAAATAGTTTCTATATTTATTAGATATGCTACCTTCCTTCAAAAAACATTTTACCTATTTCCTCCGCAATCTTTTGCCTTTGGGATTTTTCCTTCACTGAGAATACTATTCTTCTCTTCTCATCATCATCTTCATCATCACTGGCATCATTTTCATCTTCTCGAACAAGGCGGCCTTTGCCTGGCTCATTGTCAATAGGCGTAAAGTCCCCAAGTTCACGAGCCATTTGACGCTTTTTTCTAGCGGCATGAATAAAAGCAGCATCTGGGATTTCTCCTGGAAACATATGTTTACAAGGTTAAACAGCCAATCACTGCATCCAAACTCACACAGTTAGAGACTCTTTGCTACTTGTCTACTTCCACACCAGCTGAGAAAAATGGTACTGCAGACACATCAACTCATCAGTATTTGTTATCAGTAAGGAAAACAGATGAATCCAAGCAGAAAAGATTTTTAATGGTTAAAGCACTCTCACCCCTTTCCACTGAGGCCTAAGAAAGCTCCCCCTTCTGCTGGTAAGAACTTAAGAGTCCTCCAGCAAAGACAGGGAAGACAAGATATTCCACAAGAAAAACAGAAGAAAGTTTAAAAATATATATGTTTCAGGCCTTCTTTAATACATTCCAGGGGCAAGAAGGGCAAACATTTTTTCTCCCTGTTCAGGAAACCAGAGAAAAAAATCCAAAAAAAACTATTCTGATAGGAAAGCCCTGAAAGATATTTCATGGGCTTTCAGAAAATGCAGCAGTATATACAAGCTGCATACATACAGCATAATGTCACCTGTTGCATATAGTTGATATAGCCAAGTGGACAGTTTTCTAGATTCAATTCTTTCTTGAAATTTTCTAAGTTTAGACACAAACTATTGTTGGTGGCAGCTCTTTTCCCTTGCTCATGTTCCTGATGACTAGGGGAGCCAAAGTGGTACTAACCTTCCAATAAAACAGCAAACCAAGGTTCATCAGTCTAGAATTCCTGTTATTTGTATTACAGTAGTGCTAAACAAGATTGGGACTCTGGAGGCTGGACCCACTCCAATAGGAAGTTCTGTTCTGCTTCCCTCAGCCTCTGTGGTAAGCACTTGGGGGTTCCTTCCTGGAGTCACTGGCATGGAATAGGAAGTCCTGGTTGGGCATCTCTCTCCCAGTAACAGCCAGAAGCAGCAGTGGAACAAAGTCCCTGCTCTGCTTCCCTCAGCCCATTAGGCTGGGGGGTGGGAGTGGGGGTGGAGAGGGTGATTCCGCTAGGGAGGTGCTCCCAGAAAAAGGGTAGCTTCTTAATAAGAGTCTGGAGCTGTGTGAGGAGGTAAAAACAGAGCAGCTCTCCTCTCATTTTGCTCAAGGTTTAGTCCCTTCAGAAAGATTACCATAGAACAGTAGTTCTCAAACTTTTGTACTGGTGACCCCTTTCAAATAGCAAGCCTCTGAGTGTGACCCCCCTTATAAATTAAAAACACTTTTAAATATATTTAACACCATTATAAATGCTGGATGAAAAGCAGGGTTTTGGGTGGAGGCCGACAGCTTGCGATCCCCCCACGTAATAACCTCGTGACCCCCTGACGGGTCCCAACCTCCAGTTTGAGAACTCCTGCCACAGAATCTGACAGAGTAGGACAAAGATACTAAGGAAAGTTGGGTGAATAAGGGAAACAAGGCGGCAGACATGCCTGAAAACTCTGTACAAGCAGTCTTCGTTTGCTGTGTGTACCCAAGTTACATTATTTTGAGAGGGAATTTCTGTTTGGAAAGTTCAGCCACCTATTTTCAGTAAACACGCTTAAAACATTAATTCCAGTTCTCGAGAATACGATTAAAATATTCCCTTAATTTTAAAAGGAGGAATATGCTAGAACCGGTAATATATTTAAACGTGAAGTTATCTGAAGTGTACCCACTGTATCAGTTTGCTATTTCTTCTAAAAGCAAAGCAGATTAGTCTGGTGGGTTGACTGGAGAAATCTTTTTCTTTTTTCAACTAGGCACAAGTATAAGATCTTTTCCCTCTACTTCATGTTTATGGCTGTCTGTGGATTGTGAGCATGCAGGCAACAACCTTATTCCCCAGACAAAAAGTTTCCTTATGTGCAAATTTGCTAGTTATTAAAGCCATGAAGAATAATATTTCAAACTGATTTCTTTGCCCCCTAGGGTCTCAAGAAAGTGTTTCTTATTCTATTTAATCAAGTTAACAGCATTCAAGACACTCAAATACAGGTCAAAAGTGTAAGAACATTTTCTGGTGCCTAAATTAAGGATAATGCCAACCTGCACCACAAGATGGGTTACTTGGAGAACTACCAGAATATCAAAAATAGAGGTGGATTTTGAGGACGTTCAATATTTCAAAGTTTTAGGAAAAATAAATGCTGTAACTAGAAGGGGCGTTTATTTAGTTTTTTAAAGACCAGAGACTCCAGTTTGAGCTATGTTTCATTTTGATTTATTTTGAAATATTATGCCATGAACTTGGCACCTGAAGGAATCCATATAAATACCTAACTTAAGAAAACAAAACATTTTGTTACAGCCTTTGTTTTCAGCACATTAAACTCTGCTATTTGAAACTGTGGAAATTAAATGGTCCTATTTTAGTTCTTACATTAATCAGTTCAGTTTTCATAATTCTTCAAAAACAGTGTGCAATTATATTCTTCCACAGGACCAGCAGAATACAGATGAATGTTGGAAAGTGGACACTTCCATTTACTTTTAAATTTTCATTTCTAGTATCTGTTTGAGGATGTATAGATATTGAGCTTGGGAAGAGTGCATACAGCTGACTGGATATCAGTACTTACATTCCAAGTGTTAGAGACAACATTTCCAAACCCACTAAACTAGGTTTACTATAAAGTACAAACCTGGACGGAGAACATTCAGAGATGATAAAGCACTTGAAAAAGCTCCCCCAGTTTTAGGCTTTTCTTCTTCCTTCTCACTTTCGACTTCCATCTCTTCTTCACCTTGTTCACTGTTTGCAGTCCCATCTTCTTGGTTTGCATCCTTAACCTGTCCTATTTTCTCTATGGCCTGTTCAGCTGTAAGAGAAAAGCCTATACTTCAGTTTCTTTCTGTGAACATTTTTTAAATGCATTTTTAAAGAATACCACCAGATATGCTTATGTTTAAGCCAGCAATCTAAAACAAGATACAGACAATCACATTAATTTTTAACTACTGAATTTACAAGGGGAAGAACACATTGTATGTTGTGGCTTCTATAAAAAAAAACATTGAAATCTTCTCAAGTTCACACTACACAGTCTGACCAGTCTCAGACAGGAAGACACCCAAGAAAACATTAAATATGAAGTTCACACAGTCAAGCATTTGAGAGTCAGGAAATGTCAGAATTAAGGCTGCCTGTGCATACATATGCATTATGACACTCTTCAATTACTGAACACACTTTTTTTGCACAGGAACCCTGCCTCACTCATTGCACAAGATGGACAGTACCCACTGAATGAGCAACTATCCAATATTTTATTTTCATTAATCAGTGTGTGGCTCCAGACCTGATTTACTGCACACCACTCAAACACTGCTTTGAAGACATAATTATTCATTTCAACAGGGGCTTTGCTATGACACTCTCCATTGTAACATCTGAGTGCTTCACAAACATACATTCATCTTCACAACACCCGTGAGGTAAGGCAATATTATTTCCATTCTACAAAAGGGGAATAGGCACAGAGGCATTGTCAGAAATGCACACTAATTTTGGGTGCCCAATGTAAGATGCCTATGGCCTGAATTTTCAGTGAATTTAACATTTCCTAGCTCTTTATTTGTTCAGAGCACAGATCTCATTGACTTCAGTTGCAGTTGAGCGCACTCAGCATTTCTGCAAATCCAACCCCAACTGCCACAAGATAGGCACAAAAGAGGAACACAGTAGCCATCTGTGAAAAGTTTGGTTTAGATGACTTGCCCAGCATCACATAGGTACTCTATGGCAGAGGTAGGGATAGAATCCAGTTCTTCACAGTTCCTTTGAACTGAGTAAACTACAAAACCATCCTTTTACTTCCTGCAGTCCTCTGCCTCATTTTCTACATGTCATCCCTGGGCAGGTCTAGATTTTCTGCTACAAGTGATGTAGGAGTCCCAAAGACAACAGGCTTATTAACTACACAACCATGATTGACTCCCTGAGCAACATAAATTTTGTGCACTGACTGAGGCAGGGATCCCAGGGGGCAAAGTTAGTCTTTAATTACGTGATCATAAACTATAACATCATACACACAGTGGCCAAATTTTCTGGCATTTTCTCACTTTTGAGTGCTTGACTTTATAACTAAAATTCCTTTAATGGAATTTTTTATATAATTTTCTAGGGTTGTTTTTTTTTTAAACAGCGAACTGAAAAAATAGAAATTCCATCATTTGAAACCATACTGAGTCTTGGGGTACGTCTTCACTTACCTGAGGGTATGGCGGCAGGCAATCGATGTTCTGGGATTGATTTATCACGTCTGGTTAAGACGCGATAAATCAATCCCGGACGCCGGTACTCCAGCTCGGCGAGAGGAGTACGCGGCATCGACGGGGGAGCCTCCCTGCCGCGTCTGGACACGCGGTAAGTTCGGACTAAGATACTTCGAATTCAGCTACGTTATTAACGTAGCTGAATTTGCGTACCTTAGTCCGAAGTGGGGGCTTAGTGGGGACCAGGCCTCACATAATTCATCAGCAGGCCATGAACCTTCACAGCATAGACTCTCCACCTAAGCTAACAGTAACTGATAGCAGTAGTAGGTTGCCATCCTCCATGTGGGCCAGCTGTTAGAGGGAGATGAAGCACACACTTTGCCAGTAAGCTTCGGTTATTAGCAGGAATGGTGAAACTCAGGAACCCTACGTTCTATTCAAGGTTCTAAGGGTATGTACTCTAATGGTTAGAGAGCTTTTTGCCCAACCACTTCTCCAGCCTGTTCTCATCTCAGTCTCTGCCTCACCTCCCCATGCGCATTGTTCCAGTTCTTAGTTTGGAACACAAAGATATAGGTCACTTATTCTAACATAGAATCTCAACGTAAGGAATTCCACTCTGCCAACCCCTCAATTTTCTCCCTCACTTCAATGCTCTCCTTTTAGCACCTGTGTTGAGAGGGCACATCCTGGCAGAGGAGTGTGCTAGATGCAGCTCCAAATTCTAGCTGTTAGAAAATAGAAGTAAAGCGTGATTTAAAGAAATTAGCATAGGCTTGAGAGTCAAGAACTACTCAGTTTTAATCCCAGCTCTAATGAGGGTTCACTGTGTAGCTTTCTAGTAAGCGTCCTCACCTCTCCACATCTATTTCCACATCAATAAAATGGGGCTAAATTTCATCTTCGCCAAAAGGGTGCTTATGAGGATTAACTTAATGCTTATACAGACTGCTCTGAATATGTAGAGCACTCTAAGTATTAAAATGCTCAGTCCCCCTACAGAATTGACACTGCATCTTTAACACAACTCATTTTTATGAACAGTATTTAATCTTTCAGCTAATACAAGTTACTACTAGGAGTAGTTTTGCAATTACCATCTGCTGGAGAATTGACTTCTGGTTTAACCTTTGATTTTTCAAGATCTTCTTTGTATTCTTTCTTCAGTAGTTTTACTATCTTTTTGCTGTAACTTGATTTTTTCACTTTAAAAACTTCTTCAGCTTCTTTAACAAAGAAAATCGGAAAACATTAAGTGACCTGGGAACAGATTGGTCAGCTACAACTCACAAATATATTTACCATCTGTCAAGTCTTTTCACCTGGTGCACAGCACAACCTCATAGTAGAGTTACTAACAAAAGTATCCCACAAATCGAAATTCAAAGTTTAAATACAAGAACTATAAAAGTTTTCACAAGTAGGCACTGCAATTGCATATATTTTCAGTGCTATAAACTCTGATGATTTCATCATAAGCCTCGTGATAACAGGTGTTGTTCCTGAAGCCCAAACTTCTGGAATCACATCAATATATGAGAATCTCATTAAAAACATTGGTAACTATCCCAGTTGCAGATTAAAACATAAAAATAAGCCCCCCATTGCATCTTAAAGGCTCAAAAAGAGCGCATTTTTATATAACTTTTAAATCAAAAATTGAAGACACCTTATCACTCATTTTATTACCTAAACAATATACTGTGAATCGCTGTGATATCCCCCCCCCCTTAAGTGCTAGTTTTCCTTTCCACTTAGTCCTTATTGGGGGAAACCACACGTTCAACATTTTGCCTTAATATAAAACCGCGGTAGGTAAAGTCACAGTCACACGTGGCCCTGGGAAGGATGAACTAGGGCCTATACCGGCAGGGGGGGGGGATTGGCCTGATGGACCGATAGGCCTTTCCCCTTGCCTCCCTAACACCGCGGGAGCACAAGCCGAGAGGCGGACGGCAGGTTTGTAGCTGCGAGCTCCCGACGGGGCACGGCCTCCCGGGGCTGGCTACGTGCAGCCAAGGCGGCCCGGCCCCACTCACCCTCCTCCTCGTCCTGGAAGCTGAGCAGACTGGCCCGCGGCGCCGTCGCCTCTTTGTTCTCCCGCAGCCGCTTCCGCTCCTTGGCCCGCCCGGCCCCCGGCAGCCCGTTCCCCTGCTGTGGCGGCGGCGGCGGCGGGGGCAGCAGCGCGGCCAGGCCGGGGCCGAAGCCCGGGCCTAGGCCGCTCCCCGCTCCATAGCCCGTCAGGGCGGGGACGACGAGGGGGACGCAGCCGGTGGGAAGCGGCAGGAGCGGGGCCGCCTGGGCCATGGCGGCTTCGCCGGGCCCGTCCGCCCCCAGCGACTCCTGCGGCTCCTCGTCCCGCTCTCGCTCCTCGTCCTCCTCCTCCGAGTCGTTCCGCTTCCGCACGTTCACCCGCCGCGCCTTGCGGAACATCCCGCCGGGCCCGGCACCGCGCAGCCCAGACACTCGCCCCGCAGCAGCGCGCCGCGGCCCAGCCCCGGCTCCCCCTCCCCGGAGCATGATAACCGGGCAGTCACAGCGCCACCTGCCGGCCCGCCCAGCCAGCCCCAGCGGCGGCAAGGGGAACGACTGCGCACCGCACCATAGAGTGCCGCGCCGGGCTAGCGTGCCTCGCGCAACCATAGAGCGTGTGGGGCTAGAGCGCCCACCCGCGCCTGCACAGCCGCCGCCATCTTGTGTGAACGGGGAAACAAGGGAGGGGGGAGCGATCACGTGACTGCTGTGGCGGCCTTCGGAGGGAAGTGCTATTGAGGACGGTGGAAACGTGACTCCTATTGGCTGCCGCGGCGCTCGGCGCTGCCCATGACTTGCCTAGGGCGTTAGGGGTGGGGGAGGGGACTTATCTCTGTAGGTTTGTGTGGCTGAGGGGCTGGTGAGTCTCGCACCGCCGCCCCATGACTGGTCACCGGGGGGAGGCATGCAGGGAACCAGTGTGTGTGGCCACTGCCAGTGTCCACACATGTAGCCAGGTGTGATCTGCAGATCTGTTTTCACTCCTGAGGGCAGTATGCACCAAACAAACACATAAACATTCTGCACACAATATTTTAAAATTCTGCAAATTGTCAAAGAAATGAGGAAGTGCTAGAATGGCCTTGGGGCACATAGGCCACTGGCTGCACAGAAATGGGAGATCACTGTGCATTCCCCACCCCCGGACACAGACTCAGCGGTGAGGCTGCACCCATCCAGGCCTGTCCCTCCATGCCAGGTGTGGGCAGGCAGGCTCAGCAAGCCAGGATCCAAGTGTCAAGGGCCTTAGTGTGGCGGGGGAGGGGGGAGCCAGGTGTGGGTTGAGAGAGTTCTGTGTGGGGCGATCTGGGTGCAGGCGACTCAGTGGGCGATCTGGGTGCAGAGGGGGAATCTGGCTGCACAGGAGCTTGTTGGGGGGGTTCTGGGTACAACAGTAATGGGACTCTGCAGGGGTCCATATGAAACTGGTTAGGGCTCAGTGGGGAGAGTCTGGGTGTGGGGGGGGATAGGATGACAAGATCACCCAAGTCAAATATCTGGGAGGTGGGGGAGGTGGACGGGGGGGGGGGGGCGTGGCAGGGGAAAAAAAAACCACCCTTCCTCCACAAGCGCTGGAGGGAGGCCCGGGAGACGCAGGGGAAGCGCGGGGCCAGGGTGAGTGAGAGTCCGGCCTGGCCCCGAGCAGGCAGGACTCAGTCGAGCGGTAGGGAGAGTAGGGGGGCGGCCCGTGGGGCCAGGCAGCAGCTGTTTCCCCCCCAGGCAGCGGGACTCGGGAGCAGCTGCTGCTGCAGCTCCCACTGCCGCGGGGGGAGGAAGCGGCCGATTGCCAAGCGCTGCGGCTGCGGCTCTGGCTCCCGGGCCCAACCCCCCTGAGCCTGGGCCTCTTGCGAGGACCCAGCAGCGCACACGCTGCGTCCAACCCCTGGCCAGTTGCGTCTGGGCTGCTGCCCAGCTGGTGCAATCCCGCGGCGGCCCTGGAGTGGGGGCAGCAGGCCCCAGCCCCCCCCGTCCCGCTCGGGTCCCGCAGGGGAACGAACGGGGCTGGGCTGGTAGAAATCAGAAAATAATACAATTTGAAACAAAGCATCTAAAATTGGAAGAGTTAGCAACTCACATGACACTGTTTAACAGCTCCCAAGGCATCCCTGCAACCCTCCTAGGATATCAGGCATCTAGCAAGATTTCAGGAACTTCCCAACAGATCCACTTTCCAACCACAGTTGGCTTCTATAGTAGAGAACTTGCAGGCGGACTACCTCCATCTCCCTTTGCTCTCACAACTCCCTCTTTTGGATCCAAGTAAGCCTAGGGTAGCTGGGAGGAGGAGGCAGAGGTACCTCTGGCTGGCTGCCCTGGTGTGTTCTGCTGGCAAGGGAGGTGAGAATACTAGAAAAAGGGGGCAGACACTGGGAAATTGAGGTGGTGGGGAGAGAATGGGCACGGGGAGTGGCAGAAGTAGGGAACAGAATCAGTGGAAGGGATTGAAAGATGACGGACAGCATGGAGAGCTAAAGGGGCTGAAATGGGAAGCAGAAGCAGAGAAGGTCACTCAGAAGAACAGGTTCCTCCAGAATCCCTATGCTTACACGGTCACTGTATTGCCAGCATCTAACTCATCACTTTGTAAACCCTGTTGAATAGGAAAGGTGCTATATAACTAATTTCTGTGCTGTTCTAAATTTATAGTGTTTTTCATAGGTTATGTCTGAACTACTGAGTGACAGAAAAACCATTCCATAGCCCTTGCACTAGTGTCCATTATTTGATATATTTAATTCGTTGATGTTCGAGAATTAATGAGAAACACACATTAATTTGAAAGACTTTATAGCAGCCACTTTCCTTACATGCTGCAAACTGAGCCAGATAGAGAATCATATGTAAACATTAACCTTTTCATGAAAATACACTGTTAAACACTACAGGTCTTCATCAAATTGTTCAACCAGTATTAAAGCATGGAAAGTCGTTTACAATTTCTTAGGCATCTTACCTGGACCCCGATACTTGTTTCACAAAGATATATTATTTGCTTTAAGACAGAGCTAGAAATAGCGGTGCTTATGTATGGCCCAAATCCTCCCTTTCACCTGCAGATGAGAAGGGTCCTGAACAGTGGTATTAATAGAGTTTGCAGCTCACATGATGTCTACAGTAACTCCTCACTTAAAGTCGTCCCAGTTAACATTGTTTTGTTGTTACGTTGCTGATCAGTTAGGGACCATGCTCATTTAAAGTTGCACAATGCTCCCTTATAACGCTGTTTGGCAGCCGCCTGCTTTGTCCACTGCTTCCAGAAAGAGCAGCCCGTTGGAGCTAGCTGGTGGGGGCTTGGAACCAGGGTGGACCAGCAGCCCCCCCATCAGCTCCCCTAAGTTCCCCGTGCGGCAGCCATCCAGCAGGCTATCAATTGCCAGGCAGTTCAGCTGTCCCTCCCCCCACTGCCATGTGCTGCTCCTGCCCTCTGCCTTGGAGCTGCTCCTGGGAGCCTCCTGCTTGCTGTGTGGGGGGGAGAAGGGTGCTAATGTCAGGGTGTCCCACTCCCCACCGCTCCTTTACTCCATTGGGCCATCTCCACAGAGCAGGGGGGGACACGACAGGGCTCAGGACGGAGGGAACTTGCTGGCAGTAGCTGCTGTCTCAACTTGCTGATCTACTTAAAAAGGTAATGTACTTAGAGTGCGGTCAGGGTACTTAAAGGGGAAATACATGTCTCTCTCTCTCACACACACACAGGGTGTGTGTCTCTATCTCTCTCTGCCATGTTGGCTCCCCTCCCTCCATTCGTGCTGCCTTGTAGAGTGTGAGGCTACATTAATAACAATGTGTTAACCCTTGAGGGCTCAGCCGGGTGCTAGTTCATCATTTAGCAGTAAGGCATTCCCTGGGAAATATCCCACCCTCTGACTCCACCACCTTAACCAAGCTTCACAATCATCATTGCTGTGTACAGTATTAAATTGTTTAAAACTTATACTGTGTGTGTGTGTGTGTATATATATATATATATATATATATATATAGTAGGGGGAATAGGTTCCACGGAAATTTTTTTCGCCAGACAAAAGACTATTTATATATATATCTATAGATATATATATATAAATAGTCTTTTGTCTGGCGAAAAAAATTTCCGTGGA